AGCACATGGTGGATTTGGCCAGGAACGACGGTTGAACTATCGTGTGAGTGTGTATGTGTGAACTTAAAGCGCAGATTTCCGCAGAAACATTCTAGGGTTCAGGCAGAAGCGTATCGCGAATATTTGAGTCAACATCCGCTATCTGCAGGGGACTGGTCGCGTAACAGCCATATTGTGCTACAGATGATAAACAGAATAACAAAGCAGATTGGTTTGCAATATAGTCGGACAAAAATTAGAGCAGAAACTTCAGACATGCGTTTTTCAAAGTTCTTCATGGTTCATGTAACGACTGCGATGAATTCTGCCTCAACAGAGTGCCACTGGGATTCCAGATGCACTGTAGTGTTTCTGGTGTTCCCGCACCTTATGTATTCCTCAGAAATGTGTGTGCGTGTGTGAACTTGGGGTGCCGTCTTCGGCACAAACACTCTAGGCCCCAGTCAAAAATTAGTTGTTAACAGTTTGGAGCGGCATCCGTTATTTGGAGGGAAATGACCGCGAAATATTCGCGTTAGACCACAGGCAGTAAGAGGAGTAACAATAGAAATTGAAGCAGCGATCAGACGAAGGACGCCAAACACACGACCAGTCCAATGTGCATGTCTTACTGATAAATTGGTAATAGGGGTATTACGGGCGGGGCCTATGTACGCATAGAGGAATGGCGAAATAAGTATAAATAATTGATAAATTTGTTCTTCGAGCGGAAAAGTTTTGATGCATTGACATATAGCAACCGAAATTAAGCAGGACAACTAAAAAATAAATATTAAGTGCCTACTGAAATCGCCTCTCAACTCTCTGAGCTGAGTTCATTGTAGATAATACACCAGACTGTTTACAACAGACGACCCAACTTTGTACGATCAAACACCAAACCGACATAATAGTGTCGGGCTAAAACCCACTTAAATAAGTATAGCTGGTAATCTTTGTATGCCACAGATGCTTGGGAACCTTCGCCAGATCCTTACCGAAACTGATTTTCAATATTTTCGGACACGGAAATATGTGTCCCTCCGTATTGCAGTTGGCCTTAGCCTCAATTCGGGTTAAGGTTAGTGTTGGGGTTAGTGGGGTTGGGATTGGTGTTAGGGTCGGAGTAAGGCTTTTGGGGGCTAGTGCTAGGGTTAGGAGTAGGGGGGTAAAGTTAGGACAAGGTTATGGAGACCAGTAATTTGGCTCAGGGATAACTTAAGTACTGGGGGTCCATGTTTCTGTGTCCGACCTCCAATACTTAAGAAATTATTTGAAAGAGAAAGTGGAGAGAAGCGTTTCGAACGCTTTTTCACTGTTCATGAGGTGGCTCTGAAGGAGTTTGTTTCTGCAGAATGCGACCGGGACTCCCATGCTTAAGATTTTGCATGGTACATTCTCTGTTCATTAACCCTATTTATTTTTCGGAAATGCGTGTGCGCACTTCGAGTACATTCATTGTCACAAGCACTTGCAGTTTCGTTCCGAAAACCTACATCACTATTTATGCTGATATCAGCTAGCTTCAGCGGAGTCACCGCGCAACATCCACCTTTTACAGAAGTTATCCAACACAGTACGACAGACCGACCGTCGACTTTGGCGATACTCAGCGTGTGCCCCACAGCAGCTGAGAGCATGCACGGTGACTTGAGCGCGGGTTAGCTCATAGGGATAATAGACTTTCGCCGAGTATACCACACCTTCTCTCCCTCCTCCATCACGGCCCGGTATAAAAACAGAGTCAGGAAGACCGGAGGCTGGGGAGGGCACTGGTGGCTGGCACAGCCGGACTCGCACCTAGGCGTACCACCACAACCCCTGGTCCAAAACAGTTCGACCGTCGTTGCCAACGATGTCCACCGTGTGCTCCAAAGCACGGTGAAGCAGGGACGGTGACGTGCGTGAATTAGTTTATAGTGATAGTAGACTTGCACGGCATCTACCCCACTCCATCCTGTTCCCCAACCTGGACCCCCTGTTAAGACGTAGCCAAGAAGACCGGAGGCAGCGGAGGGTGCAGGTGGATGGCATGGTCAAGCCCGCAACTTGGCACTCCACTCCATACCCCCTTGTCCACACAGCAAGTGACCAGGGCTTTAACCAACAACAACAATGGGGGGGGGGGGCGGCAGGGGTCCTAGTGCGCGCGGCGTCTGCCAGTCATTGGGTCTACCGTCGCACACCGAGATGTTGGCCTTCGTCATCGTGAGCATTGCGATAACGCCTGCCAGGATCCGACATGACCCACGTGTTGGTCCAGCGCATCTACTGCGTGACTCGTTTGGGAGGGGGCATGCATAACGCACAATGAGCAGGAGTCTACACACGATAAAAGAAGAGGGGAATGGCTCGGATCCCGCGGAGTGGGAGCAGCACAGATGGCACATTAAGAAGGGACACTGCAGCCTGACTTTCAGTCCACCTGTCCGCCACTCCACAAAACATACGCTGGGCTGACTGCGAGGTGCGAGTTAGCGTGTAAGTTGCCGGCGTTCCTAGCCACGGCTTTTAGCGCATCGTGACTGACTCAGGCGCGTCGGATTGTTTATAGTGAGGAATATGTGCGGAGACCATCGACCTTACTCTTTATTCCAATTCCCAGGCCCAGACGACTGTCCCAACCTGTCGGTCGTATGGCGTGGGGAGTAAGTGCAGAGGCTATCGTAGCTAGAGGATGCGTCTGCGCGTGCCACATACACGACCTGACCGCCCAAACACAAGCATTGGAATTCTACATAAAAGGGGGCGGGCGACACGCATCCGACATGTCTGATTATGCCAGATATCGCATTAAGAAGGAGCTATTGCAGTCTGACTCTCAGTCCACCAGTTGGCCAGTCCGCAGAACACACACTGGGCTGATTGTGAGGTGCGAGTTAGCCCGTCAGTTGCCGGCTTTCCTGGCCACGATGTTTAGCGCACCGTGATGGATTCAGGCGCGTCAGATTGCTTTCAGTGAGGAATGTGTGCTAAGACTGTCGATCTCACTCTTTCTTCCCACTTCCAGACACCCGTCTGCTGTCCGAGCCGATTGCTTTTCCGATGCGGGAAGTGAACACAATGACTGGCAGAGCAGAGTCCGTCTGCCCGCACCCTACACAAGATATGGTCTCTCCAAACGCACCCACCAGGATTACACGCAAAAAAGAGGAGCGGCTCAGATTTTACATACGCGAAAGAGTGTCATTAAGAGGGAGCCATTGAAGCCTGCCTCCCAATCCACCAATCGTCCACGCAACACAAACACGCAACTGGGCTGACTGCGTGGTTTGGGTTAAAGCGTCACTTGGCTACATTCCAAGCCACGGCTTTTGACGCACCGTGATAGTCCCAAGCGTGCCAGATTGTTATAGTGAAGACTTACGCGATGATAGTCGACCTCACTCGCTCTACCCTGCCTCGTGCACCAGTCAACTGCCCGGGCCGGACAACCAGCTGACGCTGAGAGATGACTGACAAAACTGATAACAGTCCGTCTGCGCGTGCCACACACGCGGCCAGATTCCCCGTGCGCACACACCAACATTTCACACATACAATGGCGTAGAGCGTTCGGACCTCACATGCAGCAGAGGGGCTGCATGGAGAAGGCAGCCGAAAAGCACACTGCTCACTTACCTGGGAGGGGCTGATAATGCCAGGTGTTGGCGGTGGTCATCTGCGGTGCATGTGTTAATGAGGAAATGTGTGGTAATGGGATCATGTCTGCGCAGATTTACCGCAGGTTCCCATGAAGGCGCATGTGAGTGGCTGAATGGGCGAAAACAATGTAGGCAGTTGAGGCAATGGCATCTGGTGTGCTGGTGCTCCAGACACTGGTTCATCGCGCGTTTCATCTGCTTGGTGTCGCTACTCGATAGTGCAACGAGATATTCAGCTCATCAAATATTTCTTAATCTTTCACAAGTTAGTCCTACAGTTTAGTTCATGCTCTTCTGTTCGTACTGAGAATTCCAAATCTGATATCCATATTTGAGCCAACGTCCGTTTGCGTCAGAGGAATGATCGCATGAAATACACTTTGCCTATCAGGCTGTCAGCAGAATGTAAATACTTACTGACTTCACTTACTAAAACACGTGCATTAGCTAGAATGCCGGAGGTTTGCTCCGTGGATTATGTTGCAAGCTTTGTTGCGTACGTTAAAGACGTCGGTATGTACATTTTAACGGAAGTCACCAATTTCTGTGGAATGAATGCGTAATATTTACATTTTGTAAAAGGTAGCCGATAGAAAATAAGTATGAGCTCTCCTAATCAAGTTCGCGTCGTATTGTAAAGGCCATATTCCTGTTTCGCAGTCTTAATCGCGTTCATCACGCACCTGCAAGGTTTTTGCTCCACCGACGTAGTATCAGAATGTCCTATGGCATCTAATACATTTTGGCCTCCTGTGCCTTGCATTTTTCCCAGGTATTAGTGCATGAATATGGAACACGTCCTTTGCCACAAGCATCCTCGGATTCGGCCTGGGAGTTAATACGAATATTTGAGCCTATAGGGGGATCAATGAAGGCCATAGATTTAGGGTCATCTGGACCTCTCTGGACTTGTCAGAAGACATGCGTGCTCACATACCCAGCTGTGCCATTGGTATCCCCTGGCAAATATGACATCAGCAAACCCTGTCGGCCGAAGAAGTGCAAGGATTAACATCACTGAGATCGGATCACAA